TTCTTGCAAGTCATTACATTTCTGGTACATTAAATGGATTTAATTCCTTTCTTTTGGTATGCTTCTTTCTGTTTTACTTCAGAGTCCCAACCCATTGCTCACTTTCAGTGTTAAGACGCATGACCGGATATACTATATGGTCGCTCCTTCACCAGAAGCCATGAGAATATGGATGGATGTTATCGTTACAGGCGCAGAAGGCTACACCCACTTCATGTTATAATAAAAGGGGGGCAATAGGGCATACTGCAATAACGTAACATATGAAGTTAGCCATATGTAGTGAAATCTGAAAAGCCAGTGAATACTCTGAAACATCCTCCTTATGATGTGCACCTGAAACCTCAGAATGAGAGGGGTTTACAAATGCATTGAAAGGGGAGGGGAGGTGGGGGAGGTTTACTTCTTTTAGTTGATCTTTATAGGAATGAAAGAGCTAAACTGTTGAGAGAATCGTAGTGCTCCAAAATGGATAATGAGGCAATTTTAATTACAGCATCTTGATTGAATGACAATTTCCTACAAATTGCCTTACACGGAGAACATCTTTGTAAGGTCACACTAAACCATTTACAAACGCTCTCGTCAGGATGCAACAATTCTAGAAATGGAACAAAAAGTTGTAACAAGCATATATTTTAATATGCACCATTTGATGTTTATAGATGATTAGGTGGCTTAAAAACTTTTAGTCAAGTACTTTATAAAAAGATAAAAAAGCAACCCTAAGGTACATACAGTTCTTGCCTTAGTAGTTAAATATTACAACAGAGCCAAAGAGTTACATGATTCCCTTATCATAATGTTTTCGTAATGTTAGTTGTACCTAACTCTCTGTAAGGGGACAGTGCCAAAACTCTTCATGACTTTTAATGTCATTAAATTGCTATGATATTCTGGGTGTTCAGACACTCAGTAACACCAACTGTATGTTTAAAGTGTGCATCTATGGAGCTGAACAAAAAAAGAGAAGGGTAGCTTTGTAAAGATGCATTTTTCCACATGGATATGAAATGGAAACACATGTATTAACTTCCTCATAAGGAATTGTTTGGGTTTCTTTAATTGTCCCTGCTGAATAGAATGAGGTGATTCTAGCCCCTACAGCAATTTTACCTAATAAGGTCACAGTGTGGTTCTAACCTTAGTCTGTCTTAGGTGAACGCTCTACCAAAACCTCTCAAACACTGGTTCCCTTGAAGCCAGCATCAAAACCTGTACCTAAATTCTTTGGAGCCAAATTTTTAGCCCCAGACAGTGTTTGTTTATTTTTGGCTTTTTAATGCATATCTGCACTGAATAATGCTGTCAAATAGAATAAACAGAGGCAAGTTTTAAGAGCTGATGTTAAGCAGTGTATGAATTATAAACCCTGAAAAGTTTAAGTGATGGAGATTGAGATGCATAAAACAATGAGAATCCCAAGGGTGCTGTGGTCTCCCATTTTAAAACCCCTTCCAAGTCCTTGAGTAATAGTGCAAAACCATAAATTATTTGAACTAAACTTCAAGCAAGTCTCTTATAATAAGACTTTAAAGGTTCTATTTCAGTAATCAAACTTATGTGCTATGTGGTTTGTGTAACAGAAGAAAGCACATTAGCTTTTCCTTTTTTCCTTGATGAAAACCTAACGGCTGATGATGGAACAAATAAAAGACTGAAAGCAGAAGAGAAGTACGCTGGCAGAATATTTTGTTATACTTTTTAAACCTTGTATCTGTAATGAACGGGTTGAATTTCTTTGTGGCATACACAGGTGATAATGGCTGCTGTAGCACGACGAACATCAGTTTCGCCTTGAATCATGAAGGGACTGTTACTACAAGATAATTGTTATCACCTGTGCAGACCACACCTTGTAATCTAATGATTTAAAACACTATCAGAAATTGCTTTGGTTTATATAATTATTATTTTTCCTGATGTATCTTGATTTTACTCCTAAGTATGGTTATAAAGGTTTTCTAATAATGATTTTTGTATCCTGCATGATGCAATGAAGGCATTTCAATAAACATTTTTAAAAATACACTCGGGTTTAGATATTCACTTGATTCTTCGTCTTGAGGCATTTCTGTCTGTTCTAAAGTTGCATGCAGTTGTGCAACTTTATTGTATTTCTTAGTAGTGTTTAATCTAACCATTCCATGTGTTTCTCCACAAAAGAGCTCTGGAAAATAGTCCTTCAAGTGCCAGTGAAATTAGGACTGTAGTCTGTTTACTGCATACATAATATAATACCTTGAAATGTTTCTAAGAGGGTGATAAAAAATGGATCACCAACCTCGGATATAGGCACATGTTTTGTTCAACAACAAAGCAGAAATTGCTGGAGTTCAAGGTTTTTCCCAGTCTTCCCAGTATTTGGCACAGACATGACTTGAATTGCAGGAACTGCTCACTGTAGAAGCCCATGCAGTTTTATGGTATTTTCTTTTCCCGACTAAGTTTGTTGTCATCAGCTTGGGGCCTACAAGGATGCTGGAGAGGGATTCTTTGTTAAGAGACTGTAGTGACAGGACAAGAGGTTATGGGTTCAAACTTAAACAGGGGAAGTTTAGATTGGGTATAAGGAAGAAATTCTTTCCTGTTAGGGTGGTGAGGCACTGGAATGGGTTGCCCAGGGAAGCTGTGAATGCTCCATCCCTGGCAGTTTTCAAGGCCAGGTTGGACAGAGCCTTGGGTGCCATGGTTTAGTCTGAGGTGTCCCTGCCATGGCAGGGGGGATGGAACTGGATGATCTTAAGGTCCTTTCCAACCCCAACTATTCTATGATTCTATCACAAAGCATGGTGGTGTTTGTAACAATGGCCATCAAGAGAGTGTAAGCAAAGCATGGCATTACGCACCATCTTGATAGCCTTAAGCAAGCCCTCCGAGCTTACCCCCATGGGAGCCAAGTACCCACTTACCCTAAAGTATCTTGGGCAATTGCAAACCACACAGGCTTGTGTCTTAAAACCTTAGCTGCTACATCGCTCAACCTAAAGCTGCTGACAGGGGCTGGCCTTCTAGTCCCAAATCAGGGCTCTTCCCTCAGTGTGCAGGAACCAGTTAACACACAGTCAAGATAACCTGATTATTTCATGTTTGCAAGAGATGGGTGTTAGGTGGTAACTCCACAAAGCCAGCATGCCCTCAGTCTGCCACCTATCCACTTCTATGCATTTCCAACAGTGAAAATCAGTGCTCACTGTTGATGTAACAGTCTGTGCCTGTATCTACAATTACTAGCTCTGCTGTTGCCTGTTTGAAGACTCTCTATTTCACAACACATGTTCCGTAAGGGTCTCTTGTTTTAGGGGGTTTGATTTTTAGTAGTATAATGAAACAAGTTCCTTTAGGAACACAGTTATCTTCCGTTTTGCTAGGTTTTGTCAAAACTGCTTCTGCCTTCCTACTCTTTCTGAAGTTAGATGTTGCTCATCTTCTGATCCAGGTGGTTCATGTAAAAGGTACTGTGCATAAAGACCTTGTTTTGGCTACCATGGCCGTACAAGTTAGGCTGAGCAGAGGTGGGTGGGGAGGCATGAGCTGGTTCAGAGGCCTTGCAGACCAAGGTATGGCCAAGCCCTGATGGCGCTGGAAAGGTGACCAAAGCAGGCACACAAGGGTTTGAGATGTCCTTTCTGGATGTTTTGGAGTACGATGTATTTATGGGCATCAAATTATCTTAGAATCACAGAATGGCTTGGGTTGAAAGGGACATTAAAGTGCACCCAGGTCCAACCCCTAACACGGGCCAGGACACCTTCCCCTAGCGCAGGTTGCTCCAACCTGGCCTTGAGCACTGCCAGGGATGGGGCAGCCACAGCTTCTCTGGGCACCCTGTGCCAGCGCCTCAGCACCTTCATAAACTTCCCTATACCTGATATGAGGATTGACTCCACAACTCGCTAAGAGTTGTAAAGTAGGTATGCTTTATTCAGCGCTGAGGCGCATGGAGATTGCTCCTCCAAAAGCATGCACGCCCCTCTTTGCCACTTAATTAATTTATATTACATATAATGATTACCTAAACATGAGATTGCTTCACGCCTCATACATATGCAAAACCTATTCCCGTCTAGTGTTATTACTAGTTTTCTGCCATTCGTCCCATTGATGCGCTTGTGCAGTGCCTCCTGTGGTGGTCGTTAGGGGTCGTGAGGATGAAGGCCTGGAGTTCCTCTTCATCACCACGAGTAACCTCTTGCTTTCACACAGACTCAGTGGGGTTTCGGCTCCTGTCCAAACCTCAGGTTCGGTACAAGCTGATCTTATGTATCTTAAAGCAGAAACTTGTCAAGTTTGCAAATGTTGTTACTCTGGCTATCTTCTGTTCCTTTTCTTTCTATGGATCCTATTTAAACAAGGATGTCTTCAATGTTAAGTTATGAATCTGATCCATTACAGTTCTGCCTGGCAGCTGTAACTCTTACAATTCTGCTTCACTGTTCTAGCAACTTTGACTCCTACAGTTCTGCTTCACCAAGCACAGAGACTGCTTAAGCAAACGGGCACAATATTAACCCTTTATTTCCTGGTGTCATACCCACCCTGCATCTCCCCTGTTTAGGTTTGAGCTCATTGCCCCTTGTCCTATTGCCGCAGTCCCTGCTGCGCGCCCCTCTCCGGCACAAAGGGAGATGTATGCTTTATAGCAGTTTATACCCCCACGTGTACAGGCAACCGGAACTATGAGGGTCTCCAGGCCGGGTGTTACCAGCCTTGTGTGGTAGAAGGCGGCCTTTATAAGGGTCCCCTCTCCAAAATACACATGAAGGAGACGCTCATTAACTGCTTTTACTTACAAAACGTTTATTTTTTCACTCCTTAATGATGCTGAAGGCAGGGATCCGCATCCCTCCCACCGCACCGGTACGCATGCGCACCCCTAACCCTCACCCTCTCCGCACGCAGAGCCCCTCGGCGCATGCGCATGTCCCTCGCGCCTGCGCTGTGAGGCGGCCGGCCGCCGGGGTCATGTGGCCGCCGGGGTCATGTGGCCGCCGGTAATCATGGCGGCGGCTGGCACGTTGAGGGGGCTGGCGAGGGGCGCCTGCCGGCATCGTGCTTCGGCCACCCTGGTGTTGTCGCCGATGAGGGCGGCCCTAGGGCTCCCGGGTAAGGGAAGGGCCCCGGGGCACTTCTGCTGGTACTGCGGCGCTTCTTCTCCTCTCCCTCCGCCGCCGGCGTGGGAGCCCTGGGAGAGAGGGGTTGTCGGAGGGGAGAGGCTGCGTGTCCGCGGTGGGTGCGTTCCAGGGGCTGGGGCTGTGTGGCTCCGGTCCCCCTGTGGAACGGGTTTCTGACGGGCCCGCTTGGCGTGGGTCGGAGCTTGTGCACAGGGGAGGGAGAGCAGGTGCTGCCGGAGCTGGGTCTGTCTGCAGGGCACCTGCGTGCGTTCACACTGGTGTTTGGATCGCGGTAGGCTTCTGCCGCCGCTGCTTTCTGAGCGGCAAATAGGAGGTGGGTCGGTTGGCTTCCTCGGAGGTGAAACGTGCCGATGGGTGAGGTTTTACCAGGCACCTGAGCAGCTTTGCCTGTCTGCTTTTGAGGGAGGTGATCCCCTGCCCAAACACGTGGTGCCCTTTCATATTGTCCGAGGCTCAGTGCTTGTCTTACTTATTCATTGCGTTAAATTTGACGGACAACCCCTTTTTCCTGATGTAATGAACCTCGTTTGAGGTGGCTTGATGTAGAAATGGGTAAAACTTAAGTGTCACTAAAAGCGCACGCTTTACATCCGCACAATAACATTAATACGGTGGGGTGGTTTTGATGTTCTTTCTGTGTGTTTAGAGTGGTGGTGTGAGCAGAGTAGCTGGTTGGTGAGTGTGCTGTTAGGTGCTCTGAGACTGGGCTAAGCAGCAGATCCTGCTGGAAGAACTGGTGGCCACGTTACTCCTGTAGCGTAGCGGTTGCATGGAATGAGGCATGGACAATGTTGAGTCCGTTATCTCCCGAACGATGTTAATGTGCTGCTGCTGTTGGTCACAGTCCTGGAGCCTTCCCAAGGTTCTCAAGAGGATTTCTTTGGCTTTGGCATGTAGCACTGGTCTCAGTCACATTTCTGGTGGTCATAAAACAAAAATTGACAGTGGTTCTCATATGAAGGGAATTCCATAGCATTAGGTGAGGGGGAGAGGGGACGTGTCCTGTAGGTAGGTACTTCTGTCTGTAACTTGTTTTTATGAGCTCTAAGTACTACCTTGCACCCTTTGAAAGTGCTTCCTTACTCTTACCAAGGTCTTTCACTGAAATCAGGGGAGAAATTAATGGCTAGCTCCTCAGTTATTGATGATTTTGTCTGTCTAAAGGGAAGTCAGAGCATGACTCAACTAACCTTGCTTTTGGATTGGCCCAGGTGTTTGTTTTAGAGTTTTGCCTTATTCAGGCTAGGATGGCTGCTGGTGCACTTACAGTGACTTGTTAAATGTGGAATACTGGTTTGTGGAATAGCCTAGACAGCAGTCGTGTTTTGTAGCTGCAGTGTCAAACCAGTGTGAGGACGCCTCCAGAGTGCTGCAGAGTGGAAGACTGTGGTTTCAGAGATGCTTATCAGGGCTTAAAGGAGAGAAAAATACTCCCAGTTCCTTTTCTGTCAAGTTTATTCTTGGCGTGTTTCTTCTGTTACTGCCAGGTGAAGAAGTGACTGGCTTGATGATAGACACGCACACAATCAAAAAGCCACAGTGTGGATGCATCTGAGTGAATACATCGTTGTGTTGTTTATTCTCCTTTATAATACTTGATGCACCAATAGGATAAAGAAATGTCCATTGTTTCAGAGATTTAATGTTTCAGCCTATGTTTTAAGTGGTATAATGTCTGCTTGATGATAGGAAAGTGCTGAAACTAGCTGCATCCTGCATCTGTAATGCATCCACATTTACTCATACATGTGCAAGTTTAAAAACAGACAGACAAAACCCCCCAAATCCCTTGAATGTTTTATCTCTGATAGTGAGACAAGGGAACTCAAGCCTGCAGAACAGTTAAGTGGGGTGACTGTCACAGCCTGATTTCGCAGTATTTACCCGATAGATATAACACTAGGAAGCCCAGTTGCGTTGGTTTTGTACCTCTCTGTGGAAGAACTAAGCGTCTTCTAACCTAAGAATTAAGAGTATCAAAGTCTTTGAAGTCTCAACCAGTCTTTCAGTTTAACAAATTATCTTCCTGAGTAGGGTGTCAGGGTGGATTAAGTCTCCATAATACCCCTACGCATCACTTCTCATCCGCAGTAGAGGTACAATTAACTGCTAAACTTAAATACTTTAGCATCTGTTGACATTCAGCATAGTCATTAATTAGTTCATATTTCCTGTGTAAATCTTTTTTTCCTTGTTTAAAAACAGCTTTTTTATTTTTTCAGTTAATAATGTGAATAATGGGGTCCAACTTAGTGTTTGGTTGCCAAATATATCTAGTTTATTCTCTTGAACTGCACAACAGCAAAATAAGTTGATGCTAGTAGGAAAGCTCTTACATAATATGTTGCAGGTTACTTTGAGAGAAGTTGCTCTCAGTGATCTTTTGTTTTTTAACTGTGTGCCAAATTCATTTGCAAAGTGCAGATTTATTCTGTATAAACAGAACAATCTGAGTACTGGAATAACGTAACCTCTACAGTGAGAATACACCAAACCATATAATGGGGTATCTGTGCCACATTTGTAGAGGCATAAGAAAATCATAGCTCTACAAAGGTCAGCTCTCTTATGAGATGTGTTTAATGTATTGCTTTGTATTTACAGAAAAATGTAGGTTTGTTTTGGATTTTTGCCTTCTGTGATTCATATCTGAGAAAAGGACTTATGTTAAGATGGCATAGTGTTAAAATGAACTCTTTTTCACTGTTCCTGGCAATAATCTTTCACTTAAGCAGAAATACCTGTTGATGATATGTTGAAAAAGGGTAGATGTCATTTATTTCATTTGGTTTGAAACAATGCTAATGTTATTTTATGTTCATCATGCTGGAAAAGTTAGTCACAGGATTCTTTCCCGTTCTCCACTTCTGGACTTCCCTGTTGTACACCATCTTCGTAACTTTTGTGGCCCTGTGGTTTTATGCAGATGCAGTTTTGTCCTTCAGTTTTAATTTTCATCAAAAAAATTGTCTCCTCATGTCATTGTAGAATTATCTTTGCACATATGCAGTCCCAAAGTTATATTTGTTTGAAATTCAGTTGGGGGGCAATAAGGAGGGAAACTTGAAAAATGAAGAGTTAAGCTGAGTAAACATATTCAAGATGGTATAAAACAGGAAGACAAATATTGTGTAGGGAATATTAGCATTTGGCTTCAGTCAGCCACTCTGCTGAGTGAACTCCTTGCATATGTGATTGGCATTTAATGATTTGAGAATAAATCACAATCAGCTTTCCCTTTCAGATTGATCAGTACTAGTTAGTCATCAAGAAATAAAGGAGATGCTTATTTTTTTGGACCAAAGCATCTTATTTTCACATAATATGCTCATATTTCCTGAATCCTAGTTGTATAAAATATAGTGTTTCTGCTGAAGTTCTCATGATGGTTGTACTAAATAGTTCTTTTTATTAGTTTGCAGGCTGAAATCATCAATCAGCTTTCTCACTCGACCAGATCAACCAAATCTTGCTTATCATAAACTAAAAGGCAGGAATCCTGGGGTTATTTTCCTTCCAGGCTTTAATTCAAATATGAATGGTCAGAAAGCAACTGCCCTTGAAGATTTCTGCAGCTCTCTAGGTCATGCCTTTGTCAGGTACATTCAAATTACATTGGTCTTGAGAAAACAAGATTAGTATCGTGGGTTGGGGAAGGCATTTTGACAAAACCATATCGGCTTTGGAATGCATGCTGTGCTGTACACACAAGCTAAGAAGTGTCTTTCTTCCTTTTCAAATGTGGGATTTCTGTCTATGGCAAGGACAATGTATTCTCAAAGTAATTCAGAAAATGGATTAATTTTTGTAGTCTAGCCAGGGCTATATGTTACATTAAGGCTATAAGCACAAAAGATCAAGAACAAAGGAACAGGGGTTCTAGTTTTTTAGGTTACAACTTACAACTATAAGAGTGCTTCTTAACTGCCAAATCTTCAGTTACCCAGTGTCTTCTGCAGTTTTACAACACTACGTACATGCTTGGTGATACTCTCCTTTGATAGACGAGGTTGAAACCTGGGTTTTGTAGCTCTTCATATTTGGATGTAGCATTTGAAAGAGAGTTTGTATATTTAAAAAATACCTTTAAAATTGCAGTATTTGGTTGTTGGTTTGTTGGGGTTTTTTTTGTCTGTAAGGGAAATTCTTTGGCTGGGAAATACTCCTGTAAGTTTGGATATTCTTATATCAAATGATAAGAGAGCAGTGCATCACTAGTTGTCTGTGTTGTGTTTAAACCTCTTTTCATGTGATTTCTGGTGCTAGTGATACACAGGACTAAGTAAGAAAGTATTTAATGCAGTATCTTGTCCCTGTTTCATTTGGTTCAATGGTACTATAGCTTCTATATTCCTATAGACAGTACAATGATTCTCATTTTGATGGTTTCTTTTTCAGATTTGATTATACAGGATGTGGAAGTTCAGATGGTAAATTTGAAGAGTGTACGTTTGGGAAGTGGAGAAAAGATGTTCTATGTATCCTGGATGAACTTACAGATGGACCACAGGTTATATTTTATTTTGGTAGGGGGAGAGCAAGAAGGGGAGGGGAGTGAACAAGCTGTCTGGCTGGGTTTAAACCATGACATAAATATAGAATGCTTTTTGTCCTCAAGGTAGAACATGAATCAAAAATACATCATAATAGCTCTGGTCAACAGTAGCTTCTGTTTAGCAACTGCCACCTGCTTACTTTCAAGCTGACTGATTTGAGAGGTATATTCACAGGACCTCTTTTGTAAGCAGGTGGATCACAAGATCTTGGAAACATGAGTTGGCAGGACCTCCTGGAGGTTGTTTATTAGAGCCTCCTGCTCAGAGCAGGGCTGTCATCCCTCCCAATGGAAAGTGTGTCACTGCCCCATTCTGGTACATTAATTAAAGGATTTGCAGGAATGTTACTAGTTAAGATACTCTATCATAGAATAGTCAGGGTTGGGAAGGACCTTAAGATCATCTAGCTGCAACCCTCCTGCCATGTGTAGGGATGCCTCACACTAGGTGATGCTGCCAAAGACTCTGTATGATAAAATAACTTACAGAAATCAGCGGAAGCAGCACTTGACTTCTTCAGTTACTTTAGAAATGACTGTAAGAAACTTAAAATCTCCTGCAGCCTGGAAATGCCATACTTAGTGTTGTGTTTAAAATGGTTTTGTATTACAAATTTGTATTTTGATCTGTATTATTGCCTTTGGTAACCTCTTTCACTGCACTGAGCCTTTACCACGTGCATTTATTTTAAGAAAGAAACATAAAATATGCATGGGACACTGAATTGTTTCAGCTCTCATTTTCTTTACCACGTTTCAGTCTCAGGCAGCAATAACCAGCCATGCTAAACAAAAAGAGTAGTAAAATACCAGATCCTATGGTGCTTACTCAGGCAAAATTCCCACTGGAGGTGACAGCAGTTCTGCCTGGGTAAGGACAGCAGGGTAATGCCTAAGGTTTAAGTAGTTAAGCAAAAAGAACTTGTAAAAGAAGGGGAAAATTATTAGCCATTTCCTGTAAAGTAATATCTTATTTTCTCTCTTACTCAGATTCTGGTGGGCTCCAGCATGGGTGGATGGCTGATGCTTCATGCCGCAATAGCACGCCCAGATAAAGTAGCTGCTCTAGTTGGAGTCGCTGCAGCAGCAGACTATCTTGTAACAACTTTCAAGAAGCTTCCCATTGAGGTAAATGTTGATTGTTGGGTTTGTGCAGTCTAAAAATGTATCACTCCTTTAAGAAATTCTGTTGTTCAAACTGTACTTTCCCTGTAAGTCTTTCTGTAAACTTTCTGTGTTGGTGGTGGAGAAAAGCTGCAAATTTACATTAATCTAAAAGTCTGCAAAATACTGTGCTTCGATTATGAGCCTACTGTGAGCACTACCTGGAACGTGTTTATATGACTGTGGCGTGTAGGACATAAAGTTAGGGTCCATTTGATTTCAGTGTTGAGTACCTTATATGTGCATTCAGATTGGGTCCCTGTGCTTTCAGGGATGGGGAAGTAGCTGCTGAAGTAGTAGAGATGACATTGGGTGAGATGAGTGTGACTTAGGTTGTGTGTGTGCGTAGAAAGGGAATTCTTCAAGTCAGTGTGTTTGTAAAGACGAAGAAGATTTAGGTGGTGGGAAGTCTCTTTGAGTTGCTTCCTTGATCGTGATGTCCAGTCTTAAGGAAAATAAGTTGGGTATTATAATGTGACAAATAAATACAGCAATAAATAACTGTACCTTAGAATAATTCAAGTATTTTCCTGATTATTTTTATAAAGGCACTCCATAGTACCTTAGGTGAGATTCTGGAAGTGTGGTATTTAGACATAGCTGTTGTGGCAATGACTGAGAAAAGATGATCACTGGAAAATCCTTTTTTCCTAGGATTCTTCTTGTTTGAAGTGAGCTGATTTAAGCCTGAGAGACTTACTGTTCATGGTGGCTCTATGTCTTTCTCTTTCTGATAGATTCTGACTGGGAAACTTGATTTCCTTGATGAATCCCAATTGGATTAATTTGCAGGAGAGGCATGCAGAGTAGCTTTTGTGACATGGTAGGGGTGTTTGTCTTTTCAGATGCTGGAAGGGAAACAGGAATGTAGCTTCTCTGCTGATAAAAATGAACAAAGTGGAGTTTTATGCCTGGTGAGGTTTTGCTGCATTTAGAACAGAAAAAAGCTGAGATGCTTCAAAGAGCTTGTAACATCTGTCTTGTCTATTCTGTGCTCTCTTTTTTATAGACACAAAACGAAATAGAAGAAAAAGGTGAATGGAGGTTTCCAACAAGGTATAATGAGGAAGGATATTACTCCTTGAGATATGAAGTTATTCAAGAAGCAGAAAATCACTGTTTGCTAAATAGCCCTATTCCTATAACATGTCCCATACGACTTATTCATGGCATGAAGGACAGTGATGTCCCTTGGCAGATCTCTATGCAAGTCGCTGATCGTGTTTTGAGCAAAGATGTGGATGTTATCCTCCGCAAAACTGGCCAACACCGGATGAGTGAAAAGGAGGATATAAAACTTCTTGTGAACACTGTTGATGATTTAATTGACAAGCTGGCAACGTTCTCTTAAGCTGCAGGGTAGCATAAGTGCATGAACTCTACACCTGACTCTTTTCCTTGAGTAGCAGAAACCCTGATCTTAACAAGATGTGACTATTGCAGTAGGAGCTGAGCTTTATCTGCTGTTTTCTTACCTCTGTTTCGTAAATACAGGTATTAATGCTGCATTTGCACAGACAGTCCCAAAGCTGAAGGAGTGCTGCTGGTGTGTTCAGAACCTCTCCTTCACTGTTTAAACCTTTTTTCATAGACTTCCTACACTTTTGCACTGAAATGTTGAGTTGTTTTGTCACTATTGGCCTGTACAGTAAAGCTTTTAATTTCCTGTCTTTGACACCTTTTCAGTACTGTCCTTTTGCTGTAACATTTTTGTATCATATGTTTGAAACCATCAGTGCAAGGCAAAATGTAACTTAAGTGCTTACTTACATTATTATTACTAGAAATAGCAAATACCATGAAGCACAATAAACAGATTTCAGATAAATTATTATGTTGTTCTTTAGTACTGTTAAAATTGAAAAGTGGAAGGCACACCCTGATGGTGTGCTTAAAGTGCTATGTAAAGAAGTTAACTGAAAAGAATGTAGGGCTTCACATTGCAGTCAGACCTCTTTTATGTAGGTTTATCAGTAGGGCTTCTGTCCTCTTGTCCAGGCTGACATCTTGAGGTGGTTAATTTGTGGGCCTACTGTTAAGGGATCAGTATATTATCTTGGTGTGTACTGAAACTGGATCAATGTAGTGACTCTCTTATAGTAACTTCTTTATAAGTGGGAAGTACAGCATCATAGGGTAAGTCAACCTCTTCTCTGTGACTTGGAACTGTAGATCACTGGGAACAGTGTCTTCAGAGTTAGAAATTTGAAGCACACGAGTGCAAGCCTGAAAACGTGTGAATGAAACTCGATAGCTGGATAATTCCTGTAACTTCAATCCGTAGAATTTAATGGTAAATGGATTTAATTGCAAATGTGACTATAATCTCAGTTTTGTCAAAAAATATGGTGCTATTCATACACTTGAAAAAGAAAGAGGAGCTTAGGTGAGAGACTGGAAATAGTTCAGGCTGGCCTTAATATGAAACATTGGTCACATGTACTAGTTGTTTCTGGCTTTATTATTTCAAGTAGTAAATGGCATCACTATTGCTACCTGGAGTATTATGTGCAGTTCTGCTGTCATCAACGTAAAAAGGACATGGAACTGTTGGAACAAGTCCAGAGGAGGCCACGAGGATGATCGGGGACTGGAGCATCTCCTGTATGAAGACAGGCTGGGAAAGCTGGGGCTGTTCAGCCTGGAGAAGAGAAGGCTGCGTGGAGACCTCATAGCAGCCTTCCAGTATCTGAAGGGGGCCTATAGGGATGCTGGGGGTGGACTCTTCATTAGGGACTGTAGTGACAGGACAAGGGGTAATGGGTTAAAACTTAAACAGGGGAAGTTCAGATTGGATATAAGGAGGAAATTCTTTACTGTCAGGGAGGTGAGGCACTGGAATGGGTTGCCCAGGGAAGCTGTGAATGCTCCATCCCTGGCAGTGTTCAAGGCCAGGATGGACAGAGCCTTGGGTGACATGGTTTAGTGTGAGGTGTCGCTGCCCATGGCAGGGGGGTTGGAACTGGATGATCTTAAGGTCCTTTCCAACACTAACTATGATTCTGTGATTCTACCTTAAAAAACTAAAGCTCTTGGGGTAAGGTATTTTTAGAGAGATCGTTATTTTCAGTAGAAGTATATTGTATAGAGCTTTGCTTAAGGTTTTAATTTAAGGTTTTAAGTTTAAAACAACTCACAAACAAAAAAATAAACCCAACAACAAACCAAAAATACTCCAAACCCTACATTTCAGATGAGTTCCTGTGAAATACAGTTTTATTTGGGCTTGAATACGGCAAAACTCAAGAAGCTATGAAGTAATAAAAAATTAAATTCTGGTATGAGAGTAAAATAGACAGCTCTACTTTAGATGTAAACCTTCTAATTCAAGTGTAGTGATTCCCTAGCTCAGGAAACTTGTTTGAGGAATTGCAGCATTCCATAAATACGAATTTCCAGGTATTTCTGTTTCTGGCCTAGACTTTTCTTCTCATTGTATGAATATGCAATCCACTACTTAAGCTTTAAAAACCTCTTCAATGTGTTTTTTGCTTGTGAGAAAAATCAGTTCAGGTGATTTATGCAGCTTGCTCAGCCACTTCCATTCCTGATGGTTGAGCTGCATTGGTGTTAATGTATTGTTGAACAGTTGTTGTCTTTTTATGTATCAGGTAAAACCTGAAAAATAGATGTTGTGGGTTTTAAGGACACAGGCGAATCAAAACTCAGTTCCTTCAGCGCTTTCTGCTCTTACCTGTGACTGTGTTTTTAATCTCCTCTTGTCCCACCTCTTGGGTTGCTTTTTGGAAGAGAAAGTTGGGAAAAAGTGAACAGTAATTCCAGAGGAATTCATTTTCATTAAGGCTCAAAGTAACAAGTTGTTTTGATGTCATTTGTCCTTTGTGTTCACAGGTATTAAAGGTATTTCAGTAACTGAGAGCTTTTGAGCTATTTCTTCTTTTATATTGGGATTTATACCTACAAACACTGAATGTAACCAGAATACTTCAGGCAGGGAAAAGTCTTCAGGTTTCTGCGTATCCTGTAGCTGTGTGTTTCTCTTGAAAGAATGGCATTGTAGTCATTCAAAGCTTCACTTTAGCCTGTATTAAATAATTGATATTTTATGGATAAGGTCTTTTTTTCCAATGCCTTAGAGCTAGATGAAAACAAAACAAATGTGAAGGGGAGCAGTCTCAGCATTAGGTTTTTGGGGGTTCTTTTTCTTGTACCCTTTCCCCCATTAGTCTGCTGTAATAACTTTAGGTGGGAGAAGGCAGCATGACAGGGTTGACACAACTCTCTAGGGTACAAAACTGCAGCATCGGTTTGCTCAAACCACAGCATTAGTGAAACTTAATTCTAGGAAGTTTTGTTGTTTCCTCTGTTTTCCTTCTCTGCTTCCTAAATAAGTTAATGTAGTAAGACTGTTACTGGTAACATTCATGTTACAGGTACATCCCACATCTGCTACATACAGCATAAATGCAAAGGCAGAGATAATGCTTGCTTTATACAGTATTCCAGATAGTATTTTGAGATGCAGTGGATGCTAGTGTTCTTCTCTCTGTGTTCACCTATCATTTTCTAAACCCAGCCTATATTCCCTAAGTATGAAGAGGTGGCTCTGAGGTAACCTTATGCAGAGAGTTTTTCCTCTGACTTTACCACAGTAGTTCTATTGGTGTTTCATTTTGCAAGCATTGCATTTTCCTTGTGTTCATGCTGGAAATCAGCAGTACATTGATTACCGTCAACTTGGCATGTCCAAATGCCTGAAAAGAAGGGGTAGATGATAACCAGGAAGATTGACATTTTGCCCATGACTAGCTCTTGACCTATCAGGAAGTTTTGACAGTCTTGAATGGTACAAAACCATGTTTTGTCCCCTGAGTTAATGCGTGTGGCATCTCTTTAGTCTTTGCCAGTAAGCACCCCAATAGTGAATTACTTTGAATATTAGTCATGTTTCAAAACAAGTATTTATTTTCTCTGTAGAAATACTATGTTAAACTGTAGAAAAACTATGTTAAATACTATGTTTTGTTTTTATTTAAGGACTCCTAATTTGCTGTTGCGTGCAAAGTATGTTTTGTGAATAGCTAACAAATATGTTTCCTTGCACAAAATAATGTCTTTCAAATTTACCAACTCCATCTTGTGCTGCCTGTGGAGTTGGCTTTTCATTCACTACCATAATCTGCACATTGTTATTTTTAGTAGCACTCTTAGCTCAAGTTGTTAGCCTTCTAATTGTCTATAACCTTTGGCAGATGTGAATATGACTTCTGGGCTCATCTCACTGAGCGTGGTATGGACCTATGGGGGCTGACACTGCTGTCACAGTACAAGGAAGTTCAGGGCACTGACAGGGCAGCTCAGCTGCTTGTGTTGTTGGTTTTAATCAAACAATAGTAGTTGAAGAAGCACCTGGAGGTATTTGTCATCTATGTAATGCTTAAAAAATGACTCCTGCTGGGGAGTTAGAGTCATTCAAGTTTCATGAGTTAGTAACAAAAAGCTTTTATAGCTAGGCAGAGAGCTTGATTAACATGCAGTACCAACGAAGCAGGTAATGGTTTTCATCAACAAGAAGCAAAAGCGTTGCCAGCTGACCTTGTCTGTCCCTAATCCTTACCAGGATTTTTGTTTCAGATCTAATGTAAAATCAATCTACTTGTGCCTTAACTTGTGGGGAAAAAACAGCCCTGTCCTGGGTTCAGCAGTAGCAGTCATTTTTCTCCTTCTTAGTAGCTGGTGCAGTGCTGTGGTTTTGACTTCCAGCCTGGGAACAGTGCTGATAACACCGATGGTTTTAGTTGTTGCTCAGTAATGATTACTGACCAAGGACTTTGTGAGTCTCATGCTCTGCCAGGGAGGAGGGGAAGCTGGGAGGAAGCAGAGACAGGACACCTGACTCAAACTGACCAAAGAGGTATTCCATACCACAGCACATCATTGCCACTATATAAACTGGGGGCAGTTACCCAGAAGGGTTAGATCACTGCTCAGTTGGACTGGGTATCAGTCGGTGGGTGGTGAGCAGTGGTATTCTCTTCCTTTGTTATTTCCCTTATCCTTATTATCATTGGTGGCAGCAGTGGTTTGTGTTATACCTTAGTTACTGGACTGCTCTTATCTCAACCCGTGGGAGTTGCATTCTTTCTATCCTCCTCCCCATCCCTATGGGAGCAGGAGGAGGAAGGGAAGGAGTGAGCAAGCGGCTGCGTGATTCTGATTTACGGCTGGGCTTAAACCACACCAACCCCAAAACCCCCAAACCTAAAAACCCTGCAATCCCATTTTGCCTTCTAAAAAGAGAGGTAGTGATGAGGCATACTTTCCATGTTTGGGATTAAACTCAGCAATAGACCAGTATGTGTTGAAAGAGTCTCTAAAGCTTATTCAACTTGTTTCCTAATAAACAAGGGCTCATATTCTATGTATTTTGAGCTGTACTAATGCAGTTTTATATACATGTATTTTTATCTTGTCAAGTGTTGTATTTGTTCTGTCTCTTCCATTGTTTGGCTTTGTATTACACATTTCAGCTGGTTTGGTTTTGTTGGGGCCTTTTGGGGTTTGTTGTTTTTCTTTGTTAAATGGTGTTAAGTGTTTCATGCAATTTCAGTTTAACTTATTTTCTCTTGCACCAATGCTAAATGCAAACAAAGCAGCTCACAAAACCCTCCTAGCTGGATGGGCCTTAGAAGAACTGCCTCCTGCTGTTTCTTTCTCATGTTAATTTTGATGATGTGCTCTCTTGGACACGGCTGTTATTCAATGGGGCTAACAGATTTATGGTACCCTACTTTCCACACAAAATTAAAACGTGCTTAGAGCCCAGCTTCCAACCAGCTCTGTGCCTGCAGCTGCTCGGATGTTTCCAATGCTCTAGTCATACTGCAATGCAGAGTTATGTGTTCAGAACCAGTCTCTTGGTCAGAGTCACTTTGCTAGGTCTCTGCTTGGCATTTCTCCTTGAGCTTTATCCCTTTCTGTGACTGGGGGAGGGTGCAGAAGTGGGAAGGAATAATGATGTCTTGGGGAATAATGAAGTTTGAACTTACTTGATTCCTAAGTTACATAGTTATGCTGTCATAGAGGGGTTTTCTTAATGCTAAAACATGTTAAAGGCTTCCCTGGGAATAGAAGAGGGTTATGTCTCTCACCTCTGTGAGATCAGCAGTCTCTGCTCTGAGCTGATGCACAATCAGTCAGATGTGTGAGGAGGCTGAATTACACTAAAGCTTGGTGAAAATTGACTATCTGCTTTCTAGCTGGCACAGAAATACAATCAGTGCGCACTCTTGCCCTTCCACCCTTGTTATCGAGCCCTGCAGGGACAACAGAGGCAGAGGGAACTCAGTTACACTGTTGAACAGCAGGCAGCTTGCTGCATACAGGGTTTTAATGCTACTGTGAGTCATGCTTTTCTCCTGGCAGGTGTTTTATAGGGGAAGAGATTACTGTAATAATTGAAGAGAGACATGAAGGACAGA